AAATGCCCGGTTCAATCGAAGAAACTTTTCCGAGCAAGATTTTAATAATTTCAGAACAAAAAAGGTCGCCAGTATGCCATTATTGGATCAAATTTAAAAAAAAAATTGACATGCTTTGGTAAGTTGTCATGCATGGTCTGTGTTCAGTTCGAATGTGATTGATCAAAACATGAAAGTAAAAGCCTTTTACCTCCATGGTCAAAATAAGTCCAACTTTGCATGTATGAACCCAAGTCAGTAGTCTCTGATGGGACTAATAATGGTGCGTGGTAAATGTGCATTATTGGTAAGACACAAATCATAAAGCAGCATGTGAATTCAACTATGTAAATGTACTTCTCCTTCCCACAAACCTGTGTGTGTTTATACCGTGAGGTTGTGCATTTGACTTTTCTGAAAAAAAAATCTGATAAAGCCTGTAAAGGTAAACAATGACAAAACTAAATTGGGGTTGTTGAATTACCAAAGAGGGTGAACTTGTACTGACTGAGCAAAATCTGCCACCATATTGTGGTGAGGCGATTACCGAATAAGTTATTACATATGATGATTTGCATCCTTTTAAATTTATTTTTGTGAACGAATTGTAATTTCAAGTGTTTGAAACTAAATTTGATGGGATCTGTCTTTTGCGTTTATGGCAGTAAACTGGCCAATCATTGAAGAAACCTTGCAAAGACTCATGGGTAATGGACATTGACAGCCATCTTTTTTTTGGACTTTTTTCGGATTGTACACAAGTTCTAATGGTTAAACAACCCACCCAACAAGAGAGAAATTAGTCGGGGTGCAAATCATGATCTGTGGATGTTTTACAAACTACAAAGTGTATATATTATGTCGAAAGGCCACTGTCACATCTGTATTGTACCGGTAGTTGTTTTTCTTGTCAAAACACTTTAATATTTACACAACAGATATTCTCGCCAATGTACAATCTTTCGTTAAATTCTGTGGGTTGTTTTGGCTTTGTCATTGTATTTGACTGATTGTTTTCATATGATGCAGTTTATCGTAAACATCGTCTTTTATGTCATCCCTGCATTTTAAAGGGTGGTGGTCGTCGCGCTTCGCATGTGCGACATTTGTTTTCCCACAATCCAATTTACTCTTCTAATGGAAATCGCAAGTGTAAGGTTTGACCTGGGCGCGACTTGCAATAATTACCACCGGTGAATCTTCTATACCTTCAAATCACATAAAAAATACCTAATTAAAGCTTGGTAACTTCGGTAATTCTCAGTTTGTACTCGTTGATCTGCGCAATAGTCAAAGTCGCCATCTTTGTTTATATGAGACCCATATTTCTCACGCATGTGTGGCGCGACGACTACCGCCCTTTAATTTCTGCTTCTCCTAATTTTCCACTAATTTTTTTTCTTTACTGAATTTCAATATCTCGTGTTGAAACTGACATTTGAGACTGCAATAGTCCTAAGTTGCCCTGATCAACTAAAAAGAAACTAATGTCAATTCATTTGATGGTAAGTAAACCTGTATAATCACCTGCCAGCGCCGTTTCGGTCTCTTTCCGTACGTCTCCATACAGACAAATTTGGGACAATACTTGATGAATTGTTGATATTCCATGTAGTCCTGGTATAAACTCCACAACGAGTATAAAATAGACGCAGTGATAACCATTGAGAAATTAACGCCCTCAACGGCATTGATCATCACGATGTGAATGAACAAAATCCACAAAATTATTCGGTTCATTTTTAGCACCGGTTTGTAACGTATGTTGTAGTTTTACGGTCGGGTTTATTAGGAGAAGAATGTTGCTCATTGTACATGAGTAGTGGTTCCTAAATTCGAATTCTGAAAAAGAACGTGGCCATAGCTACAAGTTCAAGCCCGGGCTACAGTTCCATGGAGTTTTACTGCACATCGTATGGGTAGGGTATAGGTACGGGTATATATCTTCGCCCACAGTTCAAACTATGCAGGATATGGTTTTATTAATATCATGTTTTTAGATGTGTCACGGTTACAAGTTTTTTGTAACCGCGGAATCGCGTCATGATCGCTTTGCAATATTGTAATCTCCGTACTGTGCTATTGGCACTCTCTTGTTACGGTCACAAACATTGTATTTGTAACAACAAGTTCAAGTTCCAATTTATGAATCTTGCATCTATTACATGTGACACATCCCATAACAATACCACAACATCTAGATACATAGTAACAAAAAAACTATGCACTATTTATATACTCGCCTGATGATTACCAAATCTTGTAACTGAAGAACTCGTAGACAAATGTTTGTAATTTTTTAGCTAATTTTGTATTTCAGATTCTAAAATTATTTTAAATTACTCCAGTAGTTGTGTTATTTTATGTTTTTTACATTGGACTTTACTCAAACATTGTTTTTGTGTACGTCCCAAATAAAATATCCTATCCCATGCACGACCGAAGCACATTTTCTGTCGAGTTTTTCCGTCTTCACCAACTACCGAAAGTCTTTTTATTTTCGTCGCATTAAATTTTTGTGAGGACGAAATTTCTTGAATGATCTAAATGTGCCTCAAGTGAAATTATAATGGCTTACATTACTTTTAAACTTTCCAGACAAATTTTGCGTCATCACAGACTACTCTTAAACGGTAGTAGTATTAGTTCACGGCGTTAGATACTCGGTGTTTTCGCGTCCTCCCTCCCAAATTATCTTTCCCGGTCGTTTCATTGCGTCACTGACTCTTTCGTGATATGCATGACAATGTTTTCCTTTCTTCGAAAACTAGTTTTCGGAATTTCCCAACAAAGTAGTACATTTTCCCGTCTTTGTTTGAGATCCACAGGTGTTCAGTATTATTGTAAACAATATATTGTATCTTGCCAAATAGTTTCTATTGCATAAAATCTAAGTATGTAAGTTAATGCAGTTATAATTGCAAACTATTCCTCTAATCAAAAACATTTTTTTTTGCATACCATTAATATTGCAACACTACTTCACTATAGATGGTTTTTGTCCAGCATTTACTAAGAAAATATTCATTCTTAGTTCCAAACAGTACATGCTCACTAGTTTTTGTTCATAGCAATGCCCATTTATTGGGAAAGTAGTTTCTTTGTTCTAAACAGCACCTTTTTTATTATTATTTTTTGTCCTCAACCATACCCATTGACTAGGATAGGAATCCTTTTCAGAACTAGGTTGTTCACACATGACTCCAGAGAAGAGCACGATGTTCCCCACACTATTTAAAAATGGAACATTTGTAGGTAGCAATACCCTGGATTTGAACCAATCAGATTGACCAGATGTGTGACTGACTAGATGTGTGAATGTACGGTCATTCTGCTGAATGAGCTAAGCAGGTGGTTTTTGGTTGAAACATGCAGCTAAAGAGAGAGAGCTCCATGATTGAAAGTGACATTTAGTTTACTATGAAAAAAACATGTCCTCTGCCAATACTACAACCCCAAACTCGAACAGGCCGTTAACTACAGTTAACATCCTCCTATCCATCCTTTTATCAGTAGATTATTGTGCAAAATGAATAGGTGATTTTCCGTACAATTGCGAGATCTCGCGAGATGCATGAAAGACGCGCGTCGAACGTCTGCCGCAAAAATCGAACGATTTGATTTTGAACTAGAATTTCTTTATTTCGTAGCTTACATTGACCGGCCGATCTTCGACAGAGAAATATTGCTTCCGAATACCCTTACTTAATCGAAATTGCCTATCATCAAATGTGGACACCACATTATTAAGCATGGGAATGTCCCCGAAATACTTTCGCGTTTGTCGAATCCCACGCGATGTTTGACGCGACTACGACGCTATGACCTTTGTTTGTCCTGTTTTTACGTTCGATTTCACGCATAACGCGTGATTCTCGCAGTGAACGGAAAATGGTCTATTTCATTTCGAGTCTATAAAGTACTTCAACAAAATATTCAAAGGTACTCGTATATAATAAATTTTAGTAGTTTTAGTTTCTAAGGTAACAGCGGGACTCAAAACTTGTCTATTGATTGGCATTACAAATGACATCTTCAGTAATTG